AAGAGCAAGAACTTTCTGCTAAATTGTATTGGACATAGGCAAAAACGCTTTCAAATAAAAATGTATACAGATGCAATTGTTATTAGACAAAAGTCTAAATCTAAGAAGATCAACGTCGAATTCAAAAAACTGAAATAAAATAGAAACTCCAAGGCCTAATCAGTATACATAAAGTCTAAAACTAATAAAGCAAAATAGTCATTGAATTTTTTCAAAATTAGACAAAACCATTTCAACATTCACATAGAATAGTAAATGGTGAAAAATGAACAGCAAATAATCAAATAGAAAGAGTAAAGGACTATTTGGATGACAAGTCATTTAAATGATTCTAAGGTCTTACCAGATGGTAAATACAATCAGACTGGAAATCTGAAATTTTGGGAGGGGTCTATAGGTTCAAGACCAGCTAGATTTAGTAGTGAGGCTCTGGGGTACGTGTAAAGTCAAACTATCGAGTTGAGGCCAGTGGGTTCACAACCCAGCACTCTACAAACTGAGATGATTTCAAATTTAAGGCCAGCCTAGCTACAAAAACAAACCCTGTCCAAATAAAACTATGATATTACTAACATAAATCAGGTTTAGTTAATAAAAGTAAAGCAGTTAAACCTAACAGATCTTTAGAGGACATCATACGACATCCATGCCTGACATAAATGAGACAGAAATATTTACTCTTTGCTATAGCAGAGCTGGATTGTTTTCTCTTTGAATCTCAAATTATGGCATTTAAAGGTAAACATTTTAACTCAATAAAAATAAAAGTGGACAATAAAAATTCAAATGGATTTTTAATCATAAAAAGAATAAAGTATTGAAAAGGAAATCAAAGTCTACGTTTAAACTAGGGTATCTGAAAAGCTATATCAAAGAAAGAAAATGATTTTTTTTTTATTTAGCTTGACATCACAAAACTGAAAAGGAAAAAGTTGAGAAATTGTTTTATTAAAGCCAAGAGTCTCCAGGTCGGTACTGAGAATATGGAGGGGCTACTGCTTCGCTATGGGTCCCTACTGTATACTGTAGAACTATTAGTCACATTCTTGGCCCCACCACTAGACTCCATTTGATAGATTTACCCTCTCTCCCATCAAAGAGAATATTTCCAATCATTGCCACTATTATATCTGTAGGCATAGTTTGGCTGACAGGTCAGTGTTGTAGCTCATAGGTTCCAAAGCTGGACAAGATTGCTGATAACTTTTCACCCTAAAAGCTTGCATAGTATCTCCAGCACTTTATTAATAGTCATCAAGGAAGATGCTTCCAGCTTAGTTTCAAGTTCATTTCTCTGTTCTTTATCCAAAATCTATGTTATCATCAGTCAAAGGGGTTCTTATCATGGAGTCCTGTTGGATAAGTGTGGGGCTTTGAATGAGACTGGTGCCACAGGCTATATTTGAGTACTTGGTCCATAGCTGTTGGAGCTGTTTATGAAAGATTATGAGGCCTTGGAGGAGGTGTGTCACCAGGGGAGGGTTTTGTGGTTTAAAGACTCATACTTTTCACAGTGTTCTCTCTGTTTTCTGTTTGTGAGCTGAGATGTGGGCTCTCAGCTACCAGTCAACAGCCATATCTGCCTGCCATGTTCATTGCCATGATGGTAATGGATTCTATCCCTTCGGACTGTAATCCCAAAATGGACACTTCTATAAATTGCCTTGATCATGTTGTTTTATTATAACAATATGAAAATAACTAACACAGCAACCAAGAGTAGTCGCATTAGCCTTTATTGTTTTGAAAGCTACCAGGAGTTCCTTGGTCAACAACTAATTGGAAAATATCCTATACCTAGCACTTGGGTTTTTGTTTAAGTAGTTCTATATGAAAACTGAGGGTACTGGTGTGGTAAACCATGGATTTATCAGATTAAATTTACTAACATTTTTATGATTTCTACAATGAATCATAATTTACTCAATTTTTGATTCTTTCATTTTAATTTTCTGTTGCATAACTCAGATCAATCAGGATTAAATGACTTGTCTGGGAGCATACTTTTTTTTATAAGCAGTACTACTTTGAGTTTAATTTAGTTTTAATGTAGTTATAATGTATAAGTGATTTTAAAACAATTCATCTTGGAAAGTTGGTGTGGTGGGTACGTAGTTACTCTCTAGCACTTGCAAAGTTCATGCAGGAAGACCAAAAATCTCAAGAAAGCCTGAGCTATGAAGTGAATTTGAGGCCATCCTGAATTGTGAGAGACAAGTGCCAATTCATTCACAAAAGCCAACCAATCACAATTGTAGTATATTTCTACACGGACATGATAAAGCCCAATGACCTTGGAATGTTGTATTTTAGGGCTTAAAAGGAAACAAACACACAAACAAACAAAATCATTGTGCCCAGTAAAGTCTACCTTCATACTTTCAGGCTCAAAGAAAAAACAAAAGTTCCCGAACATATGCACAAAGTAAGACAATTCATGACCTTTAATGGAGAATTGCCTAGCATAATTACAGGAATCATGCATTAGAAAGAGGAAGATTAAAGCAACCACAAGAGCAGAGGAAATGATAAATCTCATTAGAACAGTAGAAGAAGAAATAAAAGTTAAATGGTTCAATGGTAGAAAAGCAAATAAACAGAAGATAGTAACTATCACACCCCTATAAATAATAACCATGAATTAAAATGGTCTTAATTTTCCAGTTAAAATACAGAGTGAATGATCGAATTCAACACTCTGAAAAGAAAATTGTCCCATGAAGAAGAAAGCCATACACAAATGGAAAGTCAAAGCATTTGCAGTGTTCTTAGCTGCTCACGTATCACTCATACACATGAATACTGTGTACACTCCCATGAGCTACAAAGTCGAGTGAGACAAGAATCTGAGCTGTTTTATAGATTAATAATTTTTTGTTCCTTTGCTCCAAGGAATACACTTATTACATGTGGCTAGAGATGAGACGTTTGCTCATGGGTATTATATTTTCTTCCTTACAAAGAAATTCATAGCATCACTTATATAACTTGTCTCATGAAATAATATAGAATTTAATAACGTTAAACAAGGCTGAATATACTTTTTAGTTGAAGTCAAAATTATTCACAAATAATTGGATTAGAATTCGTCTTATTATTCACACAGCGATAGGATTTAGAAAAATGAATTCTCTTGGAGTTGTGTGTTTATATTTCTACAATCTACCAGCAATATATATACTTCCATATTTTACTTAACCTGTATTAGGTTTTCACATTTCCTTTAAAAAACATATCAAACAAACAAACAGCAAAAAAATAAAACCAGTGGCTATTAACACATAGTGTTGTTTTTAAGACTGAATTATGCAAATAAAATTGAAGATAATATTTAAGTATAGGTAGGATCAAAACAAATGTACTTCGGATATTTTATTCTGAAAATAAAGCCTGTCCATTTTAAAATAAAGTACTTCAACTTTTACCTAACTTTAGTCAATAGCATTACCACTGTCAAACTATCACAATTATCACGGAGTGGTGCAGTTTGAAGAAGAGAAATTAAATCCTAAGAAATCTTGAAATCGCACTTTCATAGTCTCTCATTTAAGCTCTTTCTTTTACTTATACACTACAATTTATTAGTAGAAATTTTGAAACTGCCCATGATTTTATTTACCTAGAAAAGAGAAATAATAACCCCTGATTGCTAATACTTTAGTAAATAATGTTTATGCATATATATAAAGAAAAAACAAAATGTGGCACAATTTCTCCGATATACATGTAGAGGTCATGAAATTAAAGGGAGAACGATTTGAGAAAAGGGGATCTGAAAATGGAAGAGTGGGGAGTGGAGACAAGAATGTGTAATAGGACCAATATGAGCCAAGGACACAATGCAGAAGATGCTTGAAATAAATCTCATAAGTTTTTTCCTTCCCACACTTTGTCAAAATTTTGTTTTCCAAAATACAACTGTCTTTTTAATCATAGAAAAGAAATAAACATTCTACAATCCTGTGGAAAAGGAGAAACGGTAGCACAATTCCATTTGGCTAGACTTAACATCTTTCTCACCACAAGCTCTGATCTCTATCTCTATTTACCAAACATGCAGATTTACCTAGTTACCACCACTTGGAATATTGTTTTATATCTGCCTTTTTACATTGACAGTTTCTATGCTGTTACTTGTGCAATAATTTACTAACCTATCTGTCTTCATTGAATGATTAGGGTTATTATAATAAATAATATTGCAGCAAAAACAACTTTCCACATGAAGCTTATTAATTTTTTACAATGCGTATACACTAATACAGTCATAAAAAGAAACAATGGAAACAAAGACATGAGGAAACTGGTAAAAAGGCCATCAACTCTCACTGGGGTTATAACATTAAAATGAAGCATTATGGGATTGTTGTGGGGAGAATGAGTTCCAGCTGCAGGAGACACTATGAGAAGAGGCTGCTTCAGGAGACGGTAATGGAAGCTCCAGCTCTTCCTTAACAATGTGCTGTATGAAATAAAACTCAAATAGCCACTAGGAACTAGAAATTTTGCGCATTCACTATAAAATAAGGATTTGCAAAATGATGAATTTTTATTCTTGTGCTCCAGAGTATTTTGCCAGTCACTGATAAAAGTCTGCAGAGAACATGAGCTGCTACCAAAGTGTTCAAATCTTACCATATCGGATGGACCTGTTTACCAAATGATTCATTTTGAATAACTTTATACCTCTGGCGATGAAGAGTTTTATAAAGAAATTAAATCTCTTTGGCAAGGTATGCAGCTTAACTTCTGTCTCTTTATAGTAGATTTTTATACCACCCATGCCCAGTTACCCACCAGATCAAAAGTCATGACATATGTGGGTCCTTCCAACATTGCCTCTGACTGACTCTATGGCCATCTCTAGACTCTCAGATAATTGAACAGAAACGTAATAAATATTTTTACATGAGGATCTCTTGAACGATTCATGTGCTTCATAAAAATAGAAGTACCTCCAATCCGTCTCAAAATGCATAGTTAAATGCCTACAGGAACTAACTGCTCTTAGAGTCATTCTGGGTGTGGGTGCTGTGTCACATGTGTGTTAGTAAGTAGCAGAGAGAAGAGAGGCTATGTCTAAACTCAATTTTTTGAATCCATGAATACCAAAATGATTAGTAGCCTAACATTCCTAAATAAAACCAAGCCTGAGATGACCACCAGTCCAGCACCACACAGTTCCCAAAGGGGCTCCCAGGACGGGGAGTGAGCTAAAGAATAGAAGAAGCCTGCCTGGGACTGAAGGCTCCAGGGTTGGAGTGAGTCTAAGACAGACAATCCTTACATGGGGCCACTCAGGTTGGGTAGGCAAGTAGCAAGTCTGAGACAACCACCACACCACCACAGTGGCACCATGGCAGATGGGTAGGAAGGTAGTCTGAGATGACTACCAGTCCAGCACCAGGTAGGGTTGCTGGGGGCAGGATGAGGTGGACCATGCCCAAGTTGACCCCTGCCCGGTGCCATAACACAGGAGCAGAGCACTCCTGAGTCTTCTCCTGAGATGACCTGAGACACTCAGAGACCCCTGAGCATCACAAAGAGGAGCAAGTAAGTGGTGGAGAAATGAAAGAGAAAGAGAAAAAGAAAGATGTGAGCACAATGAAGAGCAGCGAAACTGAAGACTCAAAGATAGTGAGAGCCTGATGTGTGTAGTCGGTGATGCCACCTAGGACCATGGTGGGGGTCTAGGCAGTGCTGCCCTTGAGGATATGAGAGCAGGAGAACCTGCAGGCTGACCGGCTCAAATTCCTTTCAGGCCCAGATCTTGGGCTTTCAATTGGCCCCTCCCAACATCTAAGTCATTGGGGAATAGCTGAAGTGCATGAAGGAGCCATTCTTACAGATCCAAAACTACAGGATCTCCATGACGCAGGGTAACAGCTGGATATCTGAGAGGAGTCCCACTGAGATTCTGGTATTGATAGATTAGCAGAAGCCAGAGGCCTCCTAGTAGATGAACAAGTCATTGCAGTGATCATTTGCAGGCAAGGAAGTATGGACATAGTAAGGCATTAATATCTCCAAGATGAACTAGTTGTGATGCAAAATTTATTTCAGTGGGAATTCCCTCTCCTGGACTCACACTTTATTCCTACAAAATTTCCCTGACATTTTCTTCTTACTTTCTCATTCACGTCTGCTAGTTTACATTATAAGGAATCTCTTTTATAGTAGTTGAATTTCATACATCTTGGTAAAGGAGCTTTAAGAAAGAGAAAGAGTTATAAATACAAGTTTGCTAAAGCTTTGGAAGGAAGCCTGAATCTTATATGAGGTTCCATTGATTCTCTGGTTTTTATTTTTAAGAAATATTTTATTCATAAATTTTAGGTTATACATGAAAAGGATTTCTCTAGACCTCTGGGATATCATATTTTTAGAAATGGATATATATATATATATATATATATATATATATATATATATATAT